AAGTCACCAGGTCTGGGACTCGAACCACGGAGATGGCTATGTGGTATCCAGTGCTTTAGCCTCCATGCTTATCTGCTGGACCCTCTGTTTCTCTCTTTAGAAAAACTCAATTCTGTTAGTTTGAAAGAGGGATCTACATTTTCCCTTTATCTGCTGAATATGGCAAAGAGGAGTCATTCTGTCTTCCAACCACCAGAGTCTTTTTTACCAAGTATTTCCTAAGGTGTCATAGGATTAAGTGGGTTAATATATAAAGTGTGCAAAAGAGTGCCTGACTCTGGCTTTCATATCAATGTGTACTCATGCCCCAGGTCCAGGTTTCCTGTTTGAAACCTCTGGATGATTTTCAGACTCCGTATATCTGGGGTAAGTGCTCTGTCCTCGTGGTTGCCCACCAATGGCAACATTGCAAGTCTGGGTGTGTCACCTGCTCCCCGGGTTCCTGGTTCCCAGCCACCACCCTCTTCTCCGTCCCCTACCCCCTGGTTCTCTCCTGGTAATTTCATGACACTCTCTCCTTGCTGTCCTTCTTTCTGCCCAAGCCATAGCTCACCGTCGCAGGTCATGGCTGTGCAGACCCAGTTTCCACAGGCACAGACGCAACGGTTACAGTCTACCTCGGTCTCAGCTCCATCTGCATACGTTTCATCCTCCAGGGCACACTCTGGTGGACCAGAAATAAAGGGAAGGGGTTTAGTTGAGGGGAGAGCACACGGCATCATTGCTACAACCTGAACACCTTACCCTTTTCCCAAACGAGACCTGTCTATCCATCAGAGGCACCCTATCTGAGCAGAGGCCACTGCCGATCTAAGACCTGTGGATCCCAACATCACAATGAAGATGGGCTGGGGCTCAGTATAGAACCATGGGAGTCGAGTGGAGAGTTCCACCAATCCTCTCTCTCACCTCCCCTGTTAAAATGCTCCCACCCCCTACAGCCCTCTGCTTCTCAGGGAGACATACTCTTCTCGGGAGGGTTGAAAGATGGGTTGAGGCACTTGAGGAACTCCTGGAAGCTGAGTTTCCAGTCGGCATTCTCATCAGACAGTTCGATGAGAGCATCCACACAAAGTCCTCTGAAACAAAACAGAAGAAATGCGTTGGCAAGACTCAGTTCCACTCCGTTAAAGGGGAAGTGGGCAGCAGGACCACATACACCCGGGCCTCCACCTCTAGGCGCCGAGGAGGTGACTGCCAATTGAAGAAGTTTCTCTCTGCACTGACCTGCTACGTCCGTGACCCATCCTGACTCCCCAAAGCACCTGGCCTTTAGCCTGTCATACCGGACAGGTCACTCAGGCTGTTAACAGTCCCCACAAGACAACTGAGTTTTGTGAGTGGTTTTGTTCACCTTCATTGACAAATGTTTTCACTCCCTGTACACCGTCCACGAACATCTGCCCTTCCCCATAGTCTAGGTGTCAAGTCACTCAAACTTAGCAAAATTAAAACAGAAGAGAGAGGACAGATAATATAAAGAAGTGTAGGCTTTGAAAGGATATGGAGTTTAAGCGAGAGTCACCATTATCAGCATTTTCGAGAGATCTCTGGGAAAAGTATTATTGGACCTCAGCTCCATCATCACCCTGTGACCTGAATTTGAACCCTGGCTCAGTCACTTACTACCCAAATAGCTGTGAGCTACTTAACCTTTCTGAGCATGTTTTCTCATCTGTAAAAGGTGGGCAAGAAGCCTTCCACTGGGATGCTGGGAAGAGCAAACAATGAACACATAAAATATTAACTAATTTCAGGTTATCAAAATACGAAATATTGACAGATTCTACACTCTAAGGTCATGAACTATTACTAAGGACTAATCCTTCTAGAAACTGTTTC